CCTTCTTTTTTTTCCCCCCCACCCCTTACCCTTGAACTGAATTTGTCCTCTGTGCATGCCTCTTCTGGAGCAAGGCTGGATCCTGAACCTCAGTGCATGCGGGGTGCAAAGCCTCGTTAATATTCCTGCAGTAATAGTAAAATGCAGATTGGATAATACGACTTCTTGCTAAAGGCTCCAATGAGTGGCACACAGCCCACAATCACGGACAGGTCAGTATGAAATGATTTTACGAAGCCTGGGTGCTGCTCAGAGCTCCTGTGCTTTGTGTTCTGGCTTCAGTGACGGTGTCAAAGATCTCTGGTCAGAGGAGATCAGGAAAGCGGGATTAAATGGAGTTTCTGGAAAGCAATATGTATCGGGGGTGGCTGACTGTCAAGGCAAATGGGTTAACTTTGAAACTGAAGTATTTCAAGTCATACTACTTTCAAGCCTTCCAGCCTGACTGTAAGAACCAGAGACTCTATAATTCAGCTTCCAGGGCAGATTGATGCTGGTAGGAAAACCACAAGGAACTATGTGAAGTCAGAGCTGGAAAAGTGACAGAGTTGAGGATGCAGTTTGAGTCTTCAACCCGAAAACTTAATGGGGGATTATGCTTGCTTTTCTTTAGGTCAATGCGTTGTAGCCTTTCAAAGAGAGGTCACTTCAGGTGAGAGAGAGAAGGGTAGTTGATGAGCAAGAATGTTTACTGGTGCCTACAGTACCTTAGCAGTAATCTACTACTTGCTTTGGCTACCTGCTCAGGCCTCTGGACTTCACTGCAGGTGCTGCCATGTGCGGTTCATTAGCTGTCAGGAGTTTTCTCACTTGTACTGGGATGCTTCAGAGGCAGGTGAAAAAAAGGTGTTTTTTTTTTTTTCTTTTCCTAATTGTGAGAAAAATGAGTCAAGTAGGAAACTTTCCTTTGAGAGAGAAGTATGAGTTCATGTCTAATTTTGATCTTTCTGGCTAGCAACAAAGATACCTTTTTGAGGCTTTTTAGCAAAAGAGACTTTTCCTTTATTATTACATATTTGTTGGTAACGGTGTCAATGTGTGTGAGACAAAGGCCTGCTTAGGCCTTAAATGTCCAGTATGGCCTGCATCTCTCTGATGCAGGAGGTACACTAGGCTCGGGACAGAAGGGTGATGCTTTTGGGTGCCTGAGAGCCTTTTAGCTTTCAAGCGTGGGCAGAAAAGAGACCAAGTTTAATTCTCATTAACACCAAGGCTTTTTCGTAACTCTGTAGGTCTTAAGAGGCAGTACAGTAATTGAGCAGTGTAAAGCAGCTGTAGTGCAAGTATCGTGTCTGTTCAACGTTCTTGATTGTACTGTTCTTAAACTATTAGAGCTGCTCTGAAATGAATTGTACTAGCAGAACATGTGACAGAAGAAAATGCCAACTTGTTTTTCTTTTTGTGGCCCATGTGCATGAACACTAGCAGATGTTCTTGAGTTCCAGGACATTTTTCTTCTGTACCATACAAGACAGTGATAGTAAAAGAAGATGTTTGAGTGGCCTTGTGAGACTTTTGTCAAATACTTAAGAGTGTGGGTCTTAAGACAGCTTGCAAGACATCAAAAGGAACAGCAGGGTTTTCACACCAAGAAGCAGTTGAGTAGATGCATGGGAAAGAAAAGCAGGAGGGCAGGGAATTTGCTTGTTAATAAAAACAAAATGCTTTCCGTTATTGAGTTAGAACAGACAAATTGAAAACGTAGCGGAGACAAAACATGTCTCCGTTTCCTGTTGCTTTCAGTCACATCCAGGGCATGTTTCTTCTTGGTGTTCCATTAAGGTTTTGATTCAAAAGACTTCAAATGTCAGGGAAAAGGGCTGTCTCCCCAGCTGTAGCAATCGGAGCTTTCTAATAGTAGGGTTGTATGATGGTTGGGGAGATGCAGGGAAGTCAGGTCTTGCCTCTGTGCTTCACCTCTGACCTGAGAGACTCCCAGCTCTAATGACGAGAAGGTGATTCAGTCTTCAGTCTCTTGACTGAGACTTTCAACCATGCTAAATGTGGCAGTGTGCGTGTTCTCATTATGTGGACCTCTGCTTACAAGAGTCTAGAAGAAGGCCACTTGTTTGTTTTATCTACAGCATTATGCATGATCTGGATAGAGGTGTGTTTTTTTTGTCACTGTTGTCCTAGCAGTATATTCGTGAAAAGCTTGCTTTCCCGGCATGCCCAAGAAACCTCTATATTGTCTCTTTAGATCCAGCTCCTAAACTTGGAATAGAAAGCAGGTGCAAACTCTGCACTTGCAATGTCATTAGATCTGCACACTACAAATCATATTACGTGTTTAATTCTCTCTTTATTTGTCAGTGACCCGCATTGGTGTGATCGAGTTGGGAACTGCCTTACAAACAAAACCAAAAAACAGCTTACATCCATGCCAAATGATATTATGAAGAGGGCATTATGGGCCTCCGTTTTTCTCCACATTAGCTTTACATACTTGCGTTTTACACTTGTGTAGCTGCTTAAATCCCTGTTACAGATGGCAAATATTTTCTTTTATATCCCTTTAGCTTAAAGTGGTTATCATACCATGTGTTTTGATAGCTATTTGACATTCCTCTTGTCCAGGTTGCATTTGTTCCATCTTTTACGTGTTTTATGTCTTCTGCGTTCTTGTTGTGTTGTTTATGATAGTTAAGTATTTGTAAAATAGGAGGAAGGTATGAATTGCCACTTTTACTGTTGCTTTATAGGCAATACGATAAACTAATTTTTTGTTAAACCCTCTCCTTTTTATTTTTCCCCAAGAAAGTTAACAGGTTGTATTAGCTGAGACTGTGCTGATACATGGTCGTGCCAATTCACATCTGATGTTTTTTTGGATATTTGTCTCTGTATATCAAACGGTAGCCCTGTTCCCTTTGGCTGTTCTCTATCCTCAAGTTGGATTCTGTTATCTAATCCAACTAATTGACAAGGCAACATAGTTTCTAATATCTTTTTCCTTCAATGTCTTAAGAGCCTTAGAAAGTGAGTGCCTTGGTGAATGGGGGAATACCAGGTATGAAACAAAAAGACTAAAAGGTGTTGAGACTTCTGACAGTACAATGGCTCCTCGGCAAAGTTATTCAGAAAAGAAGGTGGAAGTATCTGACGTGTGCCGTGCCTGGCAGGCTATTCAGCTTTTAGAGAAACATGCTAAGAGTTTTACTTCTGTAAAATAGTACCTGAGATTTAGAAGTACATGCACAAACAAAAAGTAGTCCAGGATAGCCATGATGTCCTGTGTTGACTACTGCTGGCATGAGAGATTCAGAACCCTGAGCAGTGACATTTACTCCCCCTTTTTTCTTTCAGGATGTTCTTTTACTGTGTCAGCTGCTGCTTTTCATAATCCTGTTGCCCGCTGGACCGTATCAAACAATTCATCTTCGGCCTTATTGCTCTGCCACTTTATATTTGTAAATATTTACACCCTCTTAATTTAATCCTCTTTCAACTATACTGTATTTATTTAGGCCTCCTAAGGTGGTGTTTGTCTTGCATAACTTAATAAGGCTTTGGGGTAGATGTCTGTATCGGAGCTGTTTGTCTGGAGGCCTTCATAGTGGAAGAAAATAGGCGTATCTAGGGGACAAGTTCTCATCCTGAAGTAGGCATCTAAAATAGATCAGGTGAATGACTAACTGCCTGCTTCTCTACAGCCAACTGTAGATTTAGGTGAGATCTGCCATACTGTTTTTGTTTGGGAATTTCTCTTTTTGTTCTTCCTCAAGTTCTTGTCTAATTATTACTGGTAGGTTGGATTTTGGTTGCTGAATGCTGTTTTGGGCTGTGTGTCAGGTGTTGGGATTTCGGAGGGGGGACTAGACCGCAGGGGTCGTCAAAGACTAACTTTAGGACCATATTTTGTGCAGTGGTTGGCTGGGTAGGGCAAGTATGTTAGAGGAGGTGTTTTCCTGTTACTTCTATAGGATCGCATATAAGTGTGTCCACATTCACTCACTTCAGAGGTCTTCTGCCCAGACACACACAGGCCGGCTGGCTTTGGGCGTTGCTCTGTTTTGCAGTTTGTGGCAGGCGACACATGGCTGAGCAAGATAAGGGTTTTATTCTTTGCAAGGACGTGCTGGGGCTGCGTTTAAATTCAGCCGTTTGCAGGCTCTGGTTGGCCGCTAAAGGATCATCAGAACACTGCTGTATCCTGTTATGACACTAAAGAAATATTTGAATGCAGTTAATTTTTTTTTTCGTGTAGTTAACTGTATTTTTCTTCCTGCAACCATTCTGCACGCACTGTAGAGTTAAGCAATTGCACAGTTATGGAATCTGTTTTGTATTTCTTTCGGATTATTAAAGCACTAGAAAAGTATGAATGCTCGTGCTTCTTTTGGAGCATCTCATTGAGGCACTGATTACTCTTCCTATGCAGTTGCTGTCAAATGTGTTTTATTTATAACAGTGCTGTAGTTTCTGTTGCTATGATTGGAAAATAGGAGAGGTAGAATTTACACATAATTACCCTTGAGAGGCTTTTAATTGCTGATTTGCTCCTCACTTGGTACGAAAATAGACCCTAATTGTTTTTAATCTGCTTAGATCCACTTTCACTGTCTTTGGCTGTTTATAAGTCCCCATGGTAATTGGGACTTCTCCTTTAACTAGATGGTGAGGAAAAAGCTGTTATTTTTCAGCGGGGTAAGAGTAGAAGCTTCACAGAAAGTCATTCCTTAGTCTTACTGAACAGTTAGATGTGATTATCTTGCAAATAGTGCATGTATTTAATTTGTGAAGTTTGCAAGAACATAGGCTGCACTGGGAAGACGCTTTCTAATGATAAAATGAGTAATTGCAATACAGGCATCACAGCAAGTTTTCTTTTGCTTTCCATTGCTGTGTTGTGACTGGATCTGCAAATTAGAAGTTGACACAGCATGTGTGTAAACTTATTCTGTAATTTACCTTTATTGAAGCTGTCAAAAGAGAGTACCATCTGTGATGTTTACTCTTGGCTAGGAAAGAAGCAAATGCTACCAGTTCATGTTGCATAGTTTATTAAGGTTTTTACTAGAGACAGAAGTTGAGGTGAGCTTGATTTTCTAGTTTGGAATAGAGCTGTGGGCGTCACGATTATTTGGGTGGAGGCAGGAATGATATTTCCTCTAGTAGCCCAATTGTATAATCCTGTCTGTGCACAAAACTCCTGTTATGGCATTTATTAGTGTTTCTAATGGAAGAATGGCTAGTGCAGGAATGGTACAGG